ATAGTGAAAGACTGCTCAAGCTGTTTGACAGTATGGATTGATGAAAAAGTGTGGAGGATTTAGCATCTTCAAATCTCTAAATTTCATGAGAGAAAATAAAAGGTATGAAGTCTGAAAAGATATAAATATCAAGTGATTTAAAACTTCTGGTGAATTGCTTCATTGATGCTCTACATTTTTCAATTACCTGTTTTCTTCTGCCATCATTAAGTTCTGCAACCTACCAGGGCTTTTAACAGAATGCGTTTCCCCATTCTCTGGTGACTAAAGTATTGCAGAGGAGCTGGACAATGTCTAATCAACTTTGCTGCCTGGTCAAAGAACAGAAAAAGCTAAATAATTAAAAAGAAAACATTGCTAGTAGCAGAACATTAATTTTTTTTGTCCTCTGGCAGAGAAGTCCCCTTGCACGGTCAAAGTTGTGAAGGGGTGAGTCATTTGAAGTATAACACAGTGCCTGGCACCAGGCACTTTTGCAGGTACAATGTAGAGATTAAAAAAATTCTCCCTTCCCCAGAGAAAAGGTTTAAACCAACCTTTATTCCCCCCCCCACCCTCCCAAGAAAATGAAAATAGAATGGGTTTTTAAAAGATAAAACAATTAAGAAAGTCATTAGTTGTAAGTCCGTGATGTTCTTTTAGGTATTATCTATTCCTTTCTCAAAGAAAAGAAAACTTGTGCCTTATATAAAATGGAAAAGCTGACTAATGCCATGCAATTTTTCATGCTTGGTTCTTTTCATGTTTTTCTTTGCAATTTTATACACCAATCGGTATCAACTTTTGTTCTAAATATAGAACTGCTGAAAATCATTCATCAGTTTGAAAAGAATTATTTTTCCTTAGGTAAAACTTTTTATTTTAATTAAAAAAGAGTGGATTTCAAAGCCTGCTATCAAATAGATTTATGATCATTTTTGTTGGCAAGCTGTCTTGAACTTTTTAGTGTATTATTGCCTCAAATCTTAGGCTAATAAGTATGTTTGCATTAATACCAGTTGCCTTTTAAGAGATGCTAAGAGCTGGTCTACGAGTGATTTGATACCTTGTTATTTCTTGTGCAAGTTAGAAATAAAATACCTATTAACCCAATCAAAATTCTTTTGTGCCCTCATCTCCGTTCCTTTTCCCTGGTCTTCATGGGCTAGATTACTGCATGATTTAATGTATTTATATTATGAGAGAAAAGGCTTTCTTAATTTTAGTTGAATATTAATAAATACTACTAAGTTTAGCTGATGTGTTTTCTAGTTTTCCAGGATAATCGTATAATAACTCGTATGATTGCCCTCCCATTTGTAGCTCCCCTATTCAGACTTACCCATTCTGTTTTTTTATCAGTTAGATGCTGCTGATTGATTTTTCTTCAGTGGACCCACGTGGAACAAATATGTTTTAATATTAATAAAACCTTTTAATTTGAATGTTCATAGGTATTGAAAGAAGTATGCTAACAATGAGGAAAACCAGGCTAATGCTGCATATGTTTCAAAGTAGTACAATGTTTGTTTGTTTTTGTTTTAATGTATAAGTCGTTAACTAGCTAACCTGGAGAAGAACAACAGTGAAGGTAAAAAAAGAAGGTGAAATGGGGTTTGGCCTAGATGATCTTTAAAGGTCCCTTCCAACCCAAACCATTCTATGAAAATGCATGGATTATCATACAAGCTAATAAGCACAATACAAACCTTTGGGATGTGTAACTGGAAATACTGTTGCTTGAATTTGAGACATCATGATGCCTTATCTTTGTTGTTGGCATCTGTGATGCCATCTAAAAGATGGAATGGGTATTACATCATGTTTTTTCTCTTACTTTGATAAGCCTATGCGAGTCACTTCAATGTCTGTCCCTTAACAGTAACCTATTAAAAACTTTGCTACTGAACAGTCCAAAGCAGTGTTTGCACATGGATAAACAAATTAATGCACAGTAAGTTTTGACTAATTTTTAGTAAAGCTATGTTGCACCTGCCTGTCCTGCTCTCCCCCGGTAACTGATACAACAGGATATTCAATGCTTTGGCAGTGTGCTTCAGCAAAGATATAACATTGGAAAATACAGTGTTAGTCTTTCACTTTTAAATTCTTTCAGAGTGTCCATTGAGGAATGCTTGATCTGTGCTGGCTGTCTGAAGGTGGCTGGAAACTGTAATATGACCAGCAAAGAGTAGTTCCATCAGATGGTTGGCAACCCTGATTAATTCAGGTAGACTGCAAGTTGTGTGGTTCTGAAAATTCATTAGGGGCTTTCCTGTATTTGGATCTTACATCTAACGAAACTCTAAATGCCTGGTCTTAAATGTATAGTATATAACGTCTGATCAGCTTTTTTCTCTTCCTATAGTGCCCGGTGATCTCACTATAATTCCTTATTTAGAATTGCTGGATTTAGTGGCTAAAGGCTGTATCTACATTAAGGTGATGCAGTAGGAACAGATTGGTAGGTAGAAGCACTCGGTGCTTAAAGCTTTCACATTACATTGTGGTGTGATTCAGGTATTTTACATGAGGCCTGACTTATTCTGGCCCTCTGGATAAAATAGCCCCTCTGCATACATGGTTCAAATTTGTCTGAAGGGCTGCTTGTTGGTTCAGACTATTACGACCCCATTAGGGGTTGCAGTACGTTACCCGTACTCTGGGATTTAAGTCTTTGATTTTGTTTACTCCAGAAAGAGTCTAGTTTGCATGCACTGAACTTGCTCTGCAAACCCAGTTAAGTGGGGATGATGATGAGATTTGCTTCAAAACCATGCACCAAAACATGAGGTGTGGCAAAGTCCATCCTAACTGTTGCATGAAGGCTTACATCTAACGAACATTAATCATTAATGTGACAACTTGTGATGTGCATCGAGGGGGGAAAAAGGCAATTTTTCATGCACTCCACACAAAAATTGATACATATTTTATTTGGCTACTAGTTCTTTTGCTTCTGTGTGAAGGTCACCAGAACCATCAAAATAATTTTCCCTTCCTTTAAATATCCCTTCCTTAAAATTCCCTTCCTTTAAAGCACTGAGAATTGTTTCTGTGAGTTGGATCATTCCTTCCGCTACTTCAGTGGTAGCATCTCGTACCATCTTCTGAAGAGTAGTACCTTGGCCCTTGGGGAGCCAGTAGTATACTGTGGCAACTGCAAGAATGGCATTTTGGACATCTTCACTCAGCTTCCGGCAACCCTCTGCAGAAGTCAGTGGGGGCCTTGAGAATGTTGTGGTTTAACCCCAGTCAGCAACTAAGCCCCACACAGCCGCTCGCTCACTCCCCCCTCCCCACCGTGTGCTGTTACCAGCACAAATCCAAAACACAGCCCCACACAAGCTACTATGAAGAAATTTAACTCTATCCCAGCCAAAACCAGTACAAATGTACAGCATCGCCAGGCTTTGCCCACGTGAAGTATATCAGTCTATGTGAATACATCTTTTGCTGTAATCTGTAAAGGTTATTGACCTTTTAGGAAGTTATTGAATGCTCTGGTTTGATTGAGCAGGTGATGTTGATGATGGTTGGCAATGGAAATATTAATTTCCTGAGAAATAGTAATCTTTCTTTTAACTTTTTTTTTTTTTTTGCATATGAGGTTAATTGTAAATTAACAACTTCTACGGTTTTTTGGACTCGTTAAGCCTCCTGAATCAGAATTTTTAAATCTGATGTTTATCATGGTGTTGTACCTTTAAGGCTGAACTAAGGTGCATTTTAAAACTAGATAGTGAAGGAAACTGGAAGTATGGGAAATGCCCTTTGTTTTTTCATTTGGATACCTGTGAAGTTGGATTTTACTGAAGCAAAACCATTTCATGCTTCGTCTTGTTCTTCTGGTTTCTTCTTTTGAGGAATGTATCTGCAACAGGTCCAGATCCGAGGTCATCCATGGAATTGGAATGTGATACTAGCAAATGTAATTTGATAGGAGCAATTTCCAAAGAGGAAATATGTTTGGGTTTTGTGTAATAACTTGATGTTTCCCATATGTTTAGATATATGTGTCTGCTGCGATATATGAGATTTTGCTTGTATTTAATTGGTGTTTGTGGATTGCAGTTGCTCTGCACAGCATAAAGGAACAAAATCCTGCTCTTCTTTGGGCTTTGGATGTAAATTTAAATAATAACAACGAACTGTTAATAATAAATTGTGAATCTGGTTTTAATGCATGTTAAAACTTCATTATTTTAATTTTCTTGTTCCTCTGACTTTTTGATTCACCAGTAATTTTCACATGTCTTAATGGTTTGTGCTTAGAATATAGCTTTGGTAGGTTGAGAAACCCAAATATGCTGCAGTGTATTTATTTACCTTCAAGTTACACAAGCTTGTCAGCAATAAAAAATACTACTAAGTTGTCATTTTGTCTTTTATTGCTATACTATATGCCAGTACACAAACTGCTAGTAAATACCAAACTGAGGACATTCCTCTAGGGATATCCATTTCTGTTAAGCTATTTGTTGACTATTACGATGTAAACCTTAGTTTCCATTCTGTCTTTGTTATTCATGACAAATATTTTATCTATTTTTACATCAGTAGATGGTACAAAACATGACTTTTCTATTTTCTATTTTTTTTCCACAGTATATACTTGTAAAAGGAATTCTCAGGCCTCGTACTTGAAGTTAGTTTAAAGATACTAAGCAGTTGATAGGGTCACTATCACGGAAAAGCACAATCTTTTATCTTTGTTCTTTTCTAATATTGTAAATATTAAAACTATATTATTAACTCTGACATCTCTGTTGTGATATTTCAAATGCAGTTACCTTCCTTTCCTGTGACCTTCACTGAGTTTTAGGTGTATTCCTGTTTGGGTTTTTTTTGGCTTCTAGAGAAAAAGCGAAATAATCTTTACTTTTGTTCTGCCTTTTTGTATAAAATGTTAATATTTCTTTTTGTGTATTTTCTCTCCCTTTGATAATACAGATATGGATTCGTTGGAATAAAACATAACACTAGACAAGTAAAAGTAATTTCATTTATTCTCTTTCTAGATGGAATCAGTGTGAGTGGACTTCCGCTCTCCAGTCCTTTTCGGCAGGTTGTCAAACCAAGAGTAGAGACTAAACCTATTAATCCACAAGAAAGCAGCAAAGTTGGTGACTTCAGTCATGTGAAGGTAAGTAAGTGACATCAAAATAAGTAAAAGATGTGGTTTTCATTGTAATGTATTATGGTTTGTTGAGCGATTAAAAAATAAAGGTTTCTTTGTCTCATAAATATTTTCCTTTGTTTTTTTTTTTTTTAGAACAGCTTGATGTTCTGTGTTTGGATTGTTATATTAGAACAAACAAACAAAAAGGTGACACAAGGTCAGGCTAACAGTAGAAATTGTAAAAAGTTGGTTATCAGTATGGTATACTCAAGGAATTGTCAGTTTTTCACCTTGTGTTGCTTTCTTATGCTATGTACTCTGTAGGAAGGTGCTTCTGTATGAATTCTTGGTTTTCTTATATTAAAATGTACAGAAGGATTTCTACCTTCTAAACAGTTTGGGATCAAAGTCTTATCTTCACACTTCCAGTAGTAAGCCTTTTAGAGGTGTTCATATAAATAATAAAACAGAATAGTTAAGAGAGCCAAAAGAAAAGTAAATAAAAGTAGCAGGATGAAAGAACAATTGTATAGGTAGAAGCTGCACTGTGCTTACTGAGAGAGAGTCTTCCCTGGAGTAAGCTAGTGTTTGTTTTTCTGTTAAAGATCTTACCTGTTGAAGGTGTAAACTTCTTGTTTTGAGCAGTGAAATAAGAATAAGCTTCATACTGGCCAGATTTGCAGACGATCTAATTTAAGATGAAAATAACAAAGATTGTCAAAAATATACTGTAGCACTTCATGGGTCTCTTCCATAGCTTTGGTGAATGTTTTGCATGCCTTGTAGTATCTGATACATTTCCTGCATGGATCTGTGTTCTGCGTTAATTCATTCAGTCAGAATTTAGATTGAGTGTTGTACACTGCGATATTTGGCTTAGCATGTCTTTGGCTGAGAAGCAAACATAGGCTTTGCTTTTCTCGGTAACTCGCTTTGCATGTGAATTTGCTTTCTTCCCAGTGAGGTTATTTACAATTCTATTTGATCAATAAACAGGTGAAGCTATTAATTTTTAAGTATGTTTCTTTTGGACCATTAGCACTGCTAATTCATCATCATTTGATTCTGCAGTACAGAAAGGATGATGACAGCATATGAAAGATGATAAAATGTTAGTAAAGCCTTTCTTTGTGCTTTATGACATAGCAAGGTATTTCCCAATTGCTCATAAATACAAATCAGCATGATTTGAGGAAACAATTTGATATTTAGGTGGGTAAAATGTCCAGCATTAATTTTTAAGTTTAGAACTTTGTGTAGAATGTCTGACCTATAGACACTTCTGACTTATGGAAGCAAGGGGAATGTTATTTTGAAGTCAGACTAAAAATCCAGGAATGCAGAATTTCTTTGCACCAAATACATGAAAAAAACCTTTTGGTGCACTTTTTGCTTGTCAGCCAGTTGTCCTGGCAACCAAGAAGTTGCAGGTTCACAATGACTTATGTGATGGTATTACAAGGATGTTGGAGAACTGTAAAGCAAGAACTTGGTTTTTAACAGTGTATAGTGAAACAGTCTGGTGGGAATGCACATGCTTGATTCTGTTGTTAGGTTTATGGAATGAACTTTCATTTAATTAATCGGTATTTTGTGATGGAAGGACCTTGCAGGTGATCAAGACTATGTTCAATAGAGAATACACGTTCCCATAGCATCAAGGGGTTCCTTGCTCAGTACCTTTATCTGTGTATTGAGCCTGACTTGTATGACTGCTGTACAGCTCCCATAGCATGCCCAAAATTAACAATTTACTGTGTTAACATCTATTCTAAAACAGGCTTAAGCACTAACCTTGCACTTTTTGTAATGTTTAGAAGAGATGATTTATAGAGGGGGAAAAATAAAAATCAGGGTGTTAAAATAGCCAACAGGATAAAGCTCTGGAGAAAGTCTACAAAATTATGCTTCCAATTACTTAAATTATTATAATTCTGATCATATATTTGCAGACGACATCCATGACAGGAAAAATATGACTTGTATTTTTCCAGTATTTATAAGATTGGTCTATTGTAGATGAGGAGAGGAAACCACGGTAAGGTATCACCGTCTGTGAGGTGATTTACTGTCATGGATCATTCCATTTAAACAAATGTCTATTTCTATAACTTGCATTTCTATTTACCACGTTAATACACTCGTAAATAATAATCTTATCCCAGTTTGTCCCAATTAAACTACTATAGACCAGCCATTTGATCTACCTGGATTAAAAATGCTCATGAAGTTCAGAACTATTTAGAATATCTTAGAAGTATTTTTCGATTCACCCATAATTAAGCCTCTATGTATATGGACATACATAGTTGGTATTGGGCAAATGACCAGAAGAAATTACCTGTCATAACTGAGAGATTGCATTTGTCTATTTAGATGACTGCATTACATCTGACTGCTAGTCATTCTGTGATAAGGTATTATATCCATCTTTTTCCCCTGCTGTCTAATTCTTCTGTTTAATACTGTCTGTTTATTTCTGTTTGTGACTTCTCTCTACTTTGACAGTGCTCTTTAGTAGGAAGAAATGTAAGAACCGCCAGTAGCTTAAAATAAAAGCTAGACAAATTCCAAATAAACTATCAGGCAGTTATTGTAAATAGTTGAGTCAATTAAGCATTTAAAGATATAATTAGAATGTGTTCTGGTCCAGTTTTTTTGGCTGGGTTCTGAGGAATTTGCTGTATTTTTGGTTTTGACTTGCTTGGTTTTAGACTGGGTATTTTGAGAGTACATGAATATATAATATGTTTGTTGTCAAATGCAAACACTTTTGCTCAGTTAGAACATTGCTGTCTAAAATGTAGCAAGCTGGGATATATACAGGAGAGATGATCCAAGGTTCCCTTTGAACCTGAGTCTCAAAATATTTGATATTTATGAATCTTTCTGAGTCCCCTTGAACCTCCTTAAAAGATACTTCAGTTTCTCTCTGTTGCTGCAGAACAATTCAGCACTTGCGGGCTATTGCCTGTGTCCTGCACAGTGCCATTTGAGATGATTGCTTGATTACGTTTTAAGGTTTATCTTGTAATAGTCAAGCCAATTAAAGTGGTTTGACAAGGACTAATGTAAGAAGCAAGTGGGAGTTTTTAAGTTAAGAAACAAGATTGATCTTAAACGATTTGTATGTGTATTTGAAAATGTTCTGCTGTCATTTATTCGTGATTTAGCAATAGGTGTCTGTTGTGAATATTCAGGAGTAGTAATTGTTTTTCAATCCTGCATGCTGTGCATAAGCTAGTCTTCAAATAAAGGTGAATTTTTGCAAATGAAATTTAATGTAAATCAATGCTTCTCTTGTTGCTGATTCTGAAATGTCCTTGTTTGGGTATTTATAAGTCTTAGCGCTTAAACCTTCCCTCCCTACTTGTTTGCCTGACAGTTTTTGTGCTTCAGTCTTGGATATTGCCAGTATTGCAGTTGAACTTCTCTGCAATCTACATTTTCAATTTTGCTACAGGCTGTCTTCTAATAAACCAGTCACTGGCTTCTGGAAATGACTGTTATAATGATCTCATAAATTCAGTATAAAAATTGCTTTATGACCTCATCATAAAGCTTGCTTATACCCTCAAGCTGAATAGAATATCACGGTGTAATATTATGTTCAGATGTACTCTTTTCTACTGTTTGTTACTGAGTAGTTGTGGTAAGCATTGTCTAAAAACCTTGGTCATTCTAGGGTGCATCTGTACGGCAGAGTGAGTTAGCGCCTGCTTAGCTCTGCATTGCTGTGGTTATACTGGTACATGAAATAGTCTATTTTAAGGCTGGATCTGTTACTTCTTGAGTAACACTGCAGTGTGTTTAGATACTCAACTATTCTATGTCTTAATGCAAAAGCTGCAGAGAGAAATTTAAACAAATATCATAATCTCTCAGCAAACAATGTGTTATTTTTAACCTAGGGAATTCTGTACTGGCTTTCATGCTTGGAAGCTGAGATTATTTGGCTTAGTCTAGTTCTTCTCAGAGACAGAAGAAACACACTCTTACTCTGTGCCACATATCATGGACTTGAGGCTTAGAGATCAGTCTGATCTGTGGAAATTTGGTCCTTAAAGTCACAGTGATTACCATCACATAATGGTAATTCATTGGTAGTTCCTTTTTGTCACAAGGTGAAAAGGAGAATTATTCATCAAGGTATCTCGGTTCAATATAATGTCCATGGTTTCTTTGGAATAAATCTTCTGGGATTAAGAAATGCTGCATGACCCTAACTGGACAAAAGACCAAATTAAGAGTTGAAATGGACAAGTCTTTTAGTTGGGTGAAGAAAACTTTGAAAAACTTGTGAGAAACTAAAAAACTTTGTTTTTTTTAAAATCTTGGTTTAAGCTGTTAAACATAGGCATTGATTAGTGGCCAGTTGTATGGCAGACTGAGGGCTGGTTTATAATTTATAAGGGCCTCGGCTGACTTACTTATTTGTTTTGAAACTTGTATGTTCAAGAGAATTTGTCTCTGCATACTAAACATGAGCTGTAATTCTAGAGATTCAACTGCAGAAACTGGAGAGGTTTAAGTAATCTCATGGAACTATGTTCTTGCACTATCAGTAAATGGTAGGAAGTGTTAAAATATGGTATGTAGAGCTAATCTAATTTAATACACCATCTTTAATGTATCTTTTCTGATTTAGTCAGCAGTGTATTAAAATGAGATACAGGCCTTAATTGGATTTTTTCCATGCAGTTCTCAGGCTCTGCTCTTCTAGTATGAAAGTATGCTGTTAATTGAGATAAACTTTATTTTGTTGATGCTTTAATGTCAAACTCCTTTTACCTGTAAGCCTTAAATCTATTCTAAGTTTAAGCCCTTAAGCAGAACAAGTTGGATTTTTTTTTTTTTTTTTTTTTTTTTTTCTTTTTTTTTTTTTTTTTTTTTTTTTTCATTTTTGTTATTGTACCCTAGGCTTCCCTCTGACCTCTTTATTATTGTTATTGTAATGAAATTGTAACTGTTGTTAACATCATTGAAATAAAGGCACAAACGTATAGCCCAAGTTAGATGTTCTA